GTTGCAAACTCAAAAATATCAGCATATCATGATATTGTATATAGTTGATTTGGTCTATCGATCCTGGGGTATTAGCAAATCGTCCCCGATTTGTCCAAAAATGCAGAAGCCCTAACCTTACTGCTCTTGTCATCAGTTAGCCTCGCAATTCGCTGTTCATGCTGGTCCTTGAGTATATCCACAAATTTGAAAGAAATAGAAGACATGGCTCATCCCAATGTTTTTGAACAATTCCGGCCAACCCATTACACGACTTTCTTTGAGAACTCAGGACACTTTTTACAATGCACAATATAAATTGCAGATTTTTCAGAGCCTCATTCGTGAATCTGTTGCACGCATCGTTAATCCGAACGCCTACATCCAAGTGACAAAGCTGTCTGACCAAGGCTCGTGTCTTTTTTCTCTTCATGGCTTCCTACTGAAAAACACATTCATGACTTCGTTAGGATGCCATTGCGTCATTGTGACATGAGATGTTGCGGTTGATTAACCAGCAAAAAGGAAAGTGAACGGAAGTGTTGTTATCTTTTAAAGGCAAACTCCGGGATTAAACTGGTGCTATCAGCGCTTTGTAGTGATAGCTTAGCTGCGGAACGACCTGAAAGTGGAAAGGAAAGCAAGAGAAATCTTGGGAACGCTGAAATTAAGGCCTTAACCTTCAATAGGGTCGGATGTGGTACGATGGCGAGAAAGGGCGGTCAAAGAAGACAAAATACGCGAGAGAGCACGTCGTTTGAGAGAGCACGCTGATCTCTACATCAATGCACGCTGATCTCACCACCTCTCGCGGTGGGTGGGAAGCGTTGGAACGGGGTCGATGGTTGCAGGCCCGTAAGGATTAGCGCCCTAACCGCGCAATTTTTGCGACGAAGCTGGAGTGATCTAGGTAGGTACGGACCTTACAATTTGTGGTATCCCTCCTACTAGTCGGGCTAATCCCGGGGTTTGCCTTTAAATGCTCACTGCGCGCTGAGAATAGGCGTAGTCATTTCGATCACAGGCATCTTTCTGATTGGCCAACCCTTTCATCGACACGGTAAAGAGAAGCACCCAAATGAGAGGCCGACAAGATTGACTCCGCCCATACCTTTAGCGTGGAGCAAGTTTACCCTTTCCGGACCGCGCACTTTTGCCGTGGCGGCGCGTGTGGCCGGCGCCTTTTTATGCTTACCGCCGCGTGCTGCGCGGCGAATATAAATATAATATATTTGACCTGTATTTCCATCAACACCATTATTTTATCCCGTTTTTGTTTGTCATGTCTAAGAGTATGTGTGAATTTGACTAGAAACTGTTGTATAAAAAACATAATAGGGCCATAAAAAGGAAGGCAGGAATGAAAATTGTTCAAAATAAGTTGTAATGGGGAAAAAGGGACCAGAAATGTCCGAAACGTTTGGATGCAATAGCATCAGATACGACGTGCACGTGATGGCATAAATTCTGTTGTATGAAGTGTTTTCAAATGATTTATAACTGTTTTCCCTTAGCTCGAAGTGGAAATCCATTTAATTTTTGGTTATTTTAGGAACTAGTTTGAGATTGAAGTCTAGGTTTTTTCATACGTACGACATGAGTATGTTACATAGATATGTAACAACATAAAACATTTTGTCGAAAAACCGAATCCTTGGAAAAATCAGCCCTGACACCCCATGGGTGTCAGGCGGCCACAGGGAGCAAATTGGGCCTGACACCCCATGGGTGTCAGGCGGTCCGGAATGGGTTAAAGGGTCTTCAGCCGTGCTTGTTGCTTAATTACCGGTCGACCACTTACCTATTAGGTTGAGCAAAAATTATCCGCTGTTTTTATTTCACTCATAAGTTTATTAAAAAAAACCAAACAAAAACAACAATAAATGCGTAATCAACAAACGCTCTCGAACAGTCCTCTCTGCAACCGTGCCTTCATCCCAGGCTTCATTGATTCTACGAGCAGATGCAGAAGCATTCGGTTTCGAGCTCAACTTGCACTCATGTAGCAGGCAATCTTTTTTTTTGCTCGCGTGTAAGCTCCAGAGTGAAGCAAATACACAAGTGTTGTACATCAAAATGTACAAGAGATTGCGCGCTTTCAGACTACATCATAATCTTTAAAATAATCAGCAAAAATCAAAGAGCCGTAAGCCTGAAAAAAACGGCGGATAATATTGCTCAACCTAATACTACTCCGATTATATTTTCGGACGCAATGACCTACAGTGCCCGTCAAAGTTAGTGGTGGGTCAGAAGGCGCGAACTTTACGCTTAATCCAGGGGGAGGATCAGGGTAGGATAAGACTCCAGGTTAGGAAGGTCTTTGTGTCTCAGCCGTTTAATGGGCCTACGTCTCTTTCACCCGTGATGTCAACATCGTCTGGATAGACTCGTACACAATGGTAGCCACTTTTGGTTTCGGCTCAAAAGCGGATATCACGAAAAATCACTGTTCGAGCTTAAAGTAGAGGTACTAAGGAGATGGACTGGTCAGGAAATACGAAAAAGCAAAGGAAATGGACCCCTTCTCCTAGTCGATTTCCGCTCTGAGCAAAGGATGACCAAGGTATATCGGCTGAATAAATTTAGCTGTGGCAAGGCTGGCGTAGAATCACAAATCTTACCAAGGTCACCGCTGCACTGAAATGTTGTACGCATATCAAGGGAGTGGTCCCGAAAATCCGATGGGGACGATCTTCGAAAAAGACGGGAAAATTTTCTGCATAGTATTTTAATGGTAGGTGACCTAGCCCCATGAGATTGGGAGCATGCATAGAGCGCCCTGCTCCAGTACATCACAGGGAATTATTGTCTGAAAAATACAATCTAGGAAGTAGATAAATGAGGCTATTCTCCATGACAGTAATTCGAGCGGTTGATGGGTGAAGCTGCCTCAACTCATGGTGAACCTTCAGAATACAGGGCATGGCTTTCAATAGGTTCTGCAAACAGTACGGTTGTGGACATGCTTTGGCTCGTACTGCGAAAGCTGCAGATCAGGGGGAGGGATCGCTCCATTCCCTCTATCATCATGATTGACGATTGCTGGACAGTAAGGCTAACTGGCACATGCGGGTGTGCCACAACGTGTTGTCGAGTCATTGCTTGGGTGTTGATAAATGCAATGTCTCGGCATATATAATACTTAGCCACCTTGAGTGCAATAGTAAATTAAATAAATAAATAAATGAATGAGCAAATAAATATAGCAAATGTACTCGCCGATGTGTGGGTTTAGAGAGAACACCAGGCACTGCTTGTCTGGCAAAGAGACCATCCCCATGTGAAGAGGGCAGCACCAATGAGGGCCGCATTGATGCGCAAATTAACGGACGAAGGGGTTGGGCTTTTCGGGCCTAGGACCATTTCCCTGGATTGTTCTTCGCTCATGGTATCGCTGACCTCTCTCAAAGTCGAATTCTAATTGAGGTTGCTTTTTCTAAGTGAGTTGCCGGTGAAATCTGCCTTCGAGTTGTTAAAAATTACACTAATTTATCGCATCTTGCCCTTTGGTTTTGCTCACCAGTGTATGTTACGATTGCAGCACTTATTCATCACTCAATGATCTACCACTACCTGGCTCACTCCGGTTATCGAGCAGCGGCTGAGATGATGGCGGAATGTTATGAAGTTAGTAAAACTTTTACCGGAGTCTTGCTGATTAGCCACTTTGGTAGGTTTAAGTGACGCTTTCAAGACGTTCCTGTCACAGCATCGGCTTCCTGCCAAAGAAAACGTGATGGCTATGAGAGAGGCGCGACACTAAGAGTTTGGAGAACTACAAACCCAGAAGCGGAGCAGTTCTGCAGAGAGCCACAGTGAAGAAAGGTGGCACTACGCTGCAGCTGAATATTCCAGTGAAACCAAATCCTGAGTTCGAAGACACAAAGAAGAAGTTACGTGATAGAATCCAAGAAATGGCGGATGAGTCGGCCAAGAAGAATGAAGAGATGATGCAGGTGATGAATTTCGATTCTATTACAGTGAGACAGGTAAGATACAGCAAACTAGAGGCTCAGCACCAGGAATATTGTGCGTTGAGCCATCCCCTTTTAAGCCATCGAATACAATGTAATAAAATATACTACTATATAAAGTACCGCGTTTGCAGATCCTTGAACCCGATCCTTTGAAACGCCTCAACTTTATGCTCCCACCAGCACTCTTTCACCCAAACATCTCCTAAACTACTGTAGTCTCATACATTCAAACTTTTGCCACACTGTAGTCTACTCACACTCGGATTCGCCCCCCCCCTCCCCTCTAAGGATTGGTGGTAGGCTTACTCTCACCTTTCTGGATTTGGAACCGAGCAAGGCGCTGTTCTCTAATCCTGCCTCTTAGCTGTTCGCGGCAGGGATAGTGAGCAAAGTTTGAGTATGATAGTCCGTGAACCGGAATACTGGTAGCGAAATATTGTGCTGCCACTATGTCGCGCCATCAACCTGTCAGGCGCAGTGGAAATCGTGTCAAGGAAATGACCGCATCTTTACGACCCCCTCCCCCTTTACCGGGGGCTCGATACGACCCCTTATTGTCTTCCACACAACAGGTTTCGCAACACGGGCCAGAGCACCTAGCCGCATTCCAACCTCTTTCCAGGTTCAAGCTCCGACGAGACAGAGTTTTGCAGATTATTCGACATATCTATCTTTTAAATTGTCTATTGCAGTAAGAAGAGTCCTGAAAGGAAATCAAACGTCAAAAACAGGAATATCTTCTGGATCACAACCGAAGACGGACTAACCTGTAGTAGACGAGAAAGAAAGGGAAAACAGGAATTAGATCTCTGTTAGAGAAGAACGGGAGCAAAAAGTGAAGGAGCTCAGGCGGTTGAGTAGTCTCGTGCTCCATGATATCGGTACTACTGTCCGCGCTAACGTCGCGCGCGCTTTTCGATTGGAGCGCGTTAGTTGGAAAAATCGCCAAATCTACCCCTTTTTGATGGACTATAACTTTCCGCAATTGATAAGTATTTCAAAAAAGAAAGGCAGATTCTGAATGCACACGACTTCTAGTTTCCAAATTGTGCTGAGCTTTTTTCAAGCACTTCTATTCTCGAGAGTGAAGACGTCGAGAAATTGTCGAGGAAATTGAAATTTACATGCGAGTTTTCCACTCTTCGGAAGACAGTAACTGTCTTCATTGGCAATCTTTCAAGAATCGGAGGAAGCATTGTAAAGTAGAAGATTGGCGCTTTCAGAGTGGTGCTCGGTTGTTAGCATATTTCCTAGTTCGCGAGAAATCTGCGTCGAGGAAATGTCAAGGAAATTTTCGAAGCTACTAGAAAACTCTACTTCTCCCTCACCGTAACAAGGAACTTCTTCGAGACCTCAAAATGCTTCTGGGACACATCACCTCGATGGAGTGAATAGGAAATGATACACTGGGCGCAAATCTGTTACGTTTTGGTATGCGCCGTGCAGAGACCCCACTCAGAATCATTTGAAAGGTGTTTCGTCTACAAAACAATTGCTTGTGCAAACCAAAAGTTCTAGTCTCAATTGAGTAGAGTAACTCTTATGGTCATAGTCTAGTTTGATCATTCCTTCATTTACGTCGGTACGATTCCAACCCTCCTCCGATAAATGGCGGCTGCATTATGTGACTGTGTCAGGGAGGCTACGAATCTTCCCGTTTTGAACCTTCTACTGATATCCTGCTCCACTATCTTAAAGCGCCTACACCAATTCAGAGTAGATATCCCATTTGAGCTTCCATTCCAGTCAGTTTTAAGATATCAGTTGCTTCTTCTGAACTATGACATTATTGATGACAGTGAGTGGCAGCAGCACCGTGTGTCCGTTCTTTAACCTTGCGCTTACGACCCCTCCCCAATTCTCATCGGAGCAAATACGACCCCCTGTCGAGGATTTCCTCGACCGTTATTCACCCTGAACTGTACGGTGATTTCGGCCGCGCAGCGTAAACATTTTGGATCACAGGGAACGATTACGATAAAGAGGGAGTCCATCGGAGAAGTATATGCGCCACAGAAGCAGTTACTTGGCTGCCAAATTAGGAAGATGTGGCGCTTTTACGACGAAAGATGCGCTGGTTGCTGAGCAGGACTTGAAAATCGCCACGACCCTTAAACGCTCCAACCAGTGGCTTAGATGGTGAATTGGGCGATCTGTGTTGCTACCAGCGGCACAGGTGGAGTAGGATGGAGCTTTTGTTGGCATGAAGACTCAAACGCGTTCCGGCAGACTTGTTCATAAGTGTGCCGTTTAGCCGCTACCCGTCCTTTAGTGAAAATCAACGGCAAAACAATAGGGTCCCCTTTCATGCTCTCTTAACAGACTCTCACTTTTTCGCCATTGGTGTACCACTGAGCACCCCCATGTCCTCTTTGAAACCTCTTTAGGACTTATTATAGTAGCTGCCCTTGAGTCAGAATTTGCACTTCACAGAGTGTCTCTTGTGTTTTCAACGTTCCCATGGATCTTTGTTTTCTTGGTATTTCGGTGCTGGCCAGAAACTTCGATTAATGCGCTGATAGTAATTGGTGTGTTGTGCAAAGCGACGACGCAAAACTCAGGTTGTTTGGTAGTTACAGCTGCCGTGGGCGAGATTGTGTCTGGAGGTGACCAACGATCCTTTTATTTTTTGCAGTTGTTATCAATTCGTACCTCACCAAATATATTCCCGTGGATGCTCCAATTACAGCTTTGAAGCACCAAGCAGTTCACCCGCGCCATGTACGATCCTTTAGTCCTAGCGCACGTGCAAAAAGCTCACGCTGTGCGTCTGTGAGTGACAAAATGTAGGGAGGTAATGCAAGCTGATCAGTGCGTCGTGATTTTCTGCTAATGTTTACGATCTGCCACTTTTTTAGCCTTTCCACGATACTGGAGCCAGAAATAATTTCTAGCCTCACGAAGTGACCAGAGATAATGTTTAGCACTCCTGGCACGCATTTTGTGGACGAGACGGCAGCGGGTATTTGAGGCGGTTTCGGCTTAAAGTAACCCGCACTTGGTCGCACGCGGACGCACGGCGTGTACCTCCAGCTCATACTTCTTGTTCCTCCTCCTCTCTCTTATACACCTTGATCTTTGGTCTCTGGCGTTCAACTTCACATACACTAGCTGTTGTTGTCCCCCTAAACAAGTCTGCTATCAATTAACGATCCCGGAGGAATGGAATGTTTGGTTTTCTCGGACGGCGGACCCAGAATTCGATTCCTGGACCGTGCGCGTGGTCAGGTCGCTACTTGCCACTCACGATATGAACTGACTGATAAACTTTTGGAATTGAATTTCAATGAAATACGTTGTTTTTTGCCGTTCCAGCGAGAGGAGACCGTAAGCGAGGAAGACGTAGACGAGGAAGAAGAGCAAGAATCATCCAATGACGAGAAATCCTCGCAGTCGTCGACAAGTACGGCCGAGTCTGAGGTGTAAGTTCCAAAATTTCAACTTCGGTCAATTCCAATAAGAGGGGCATCTTGGCGCACTGATTCGTGCGGATTGCGTTGATTGCGTCCTCTCAATTTCTTGGTGTGTCGGGAACACTGGGGTAGGTTACTCAGCTTCCTTCGCCAAAAGTGCACTGCACCGAAATGCCTCTTATTGTAACGGATCTTTCATTTTTCATTAATACATTATTTATCAGTAGATTTTAGGGAAATGGTTACATCGAATTGGACTAGGCGCTTATGGGGTCCCAATGCTCATCAGCTGTCGACAGATACTATCATAGCCACGGCATCACCACCGTCTAGGTAACGGCTTCTGAGGGTTCCTCTCTCGGAAAATTCTTTTCAAATTCTGTGTCTCGTCTTCAGGCCGTCTCAGTTACCGCCGTTGGTCAGTGTCCGTCCTAAACCTCAGCTCACTTCCATACGATCAATCGATTTCGATATACCTCGTGGGGATGATGTTGCCATAATTTGAATTTTGAGTTCACTTCTTTCGTTTTTTTTTTGCAGAACTCGAAAAAAGCCCGTCGATCCAGTCGATTGAAACACCTCGTGCCTCGCCGAGTCCTGTGGCGAAGGAAGATGTGACCCCGTCGAAGGCATCTCCCGAGGACTCCAAAGCTTCTCCAAAAGAAGGTACTCTTCCTTATTTATCCAGTTGCTAAATCGGACTTTATATGGGGAACAAAAGGAACTTAGCTCATAGCGCAAGAGATTTGGTGTACCCTCGCCACGGCACTGTTCGGCTCCTTTTGTGAGATATTGCGTATGCACATTCGTTTAGATTACGCAGAAGAGTAGAGAATAGCCTAGTAAAATATACACACCGGAGTGAGCACGCGTTGGTGACATATGGCGTTTTCAACATCACACTCACCCGTGTCTTCGTCACAATTTCGTGGCGCATTCTAAGCTTGATGACTTGAACCAACCGCTTGGTCGCTATATCTACATACATTTTCAGGAATTGATTGGGAGAGATCCCATAACTGTCAATGAAATCATAAGATGAAGAGGACTCCGTATCACTGGGCTACTTGATCTGCTTGATACCCGGGGTACCCAACCCCGGTTTCGGATTTGTAGAGCCGTTTGAAAGGGTGTGAGGGAATGAATTTGGAAAAATGAACACTGAAGACGACCAGTTGATATTCAAGTTGTTTGTTCTCTGAAGTAGCTTCGACACAAATCACTTTAACACATTGGCGTACCCGAAGTGCGCCACATGGTGGTGCACCGCCATTCCTGCCCCGTGTGGCCGCGTGCGCCACATGGTGGCGCACGATTTCTGAATTGATTTTGTTCACAGTAATTGCCGTTCCTTACTCAATGTTTCCGCATATACATGTTTTCTCACTAGGAGAACAACATATCCAAGTGGGACGTCTCCTGATAATTAGGTAATGTTTGTAAATAATAATTTCATTAGAGCCTGGTTTGCAAATTGAATTCGCTTGAATATAGCATAATCTTTTAAGCAAGTTCAGCAGTCATTGCAACCTACTCGTAATACAACTGAGTCGCAACAATGTGTTTCAACCAAATCATTAAGTGAGAGCGGTGATATGAAACAAAACATCAGTGTTAAGATTTTGGGAGCGCTTTTTCCAGCTTACATTAGTTTCGGCGGTGAATTTTCGAAGTCTCATGGAATTAAGCACTTTGAATAAGCTTTATTCGAAATCCCACTCAAGCTCGGCCTACCTTGGCATTGTAATCAATAATAAATGAACTGCAAATATGGGTGTTATAGAACCCACCTCCCTGGAGGTTGTGCGAAGAGTGGAATAAGTCTTCAAATATTCTGTAAATCTGAATAATCGCCACTGCTGTTCAATAAGCATGCTAACGTGGATTGTGGGGTAACGGGACTATCTTGTTCACCATCGCTGTTTTTCACAAGAAGTTGTTCCAGAAGTAATTTTTGGATCCTTTACTATCGTTGTTGAGGAATCAATTGCTAACTTTTAAAATGTTTATGACTAGTCAAATAAGCGAAGAATAACACGCAGTTTTCATAAGATTGTGGGCTAACTCAGTAATAAAAAAAACAACAAAGTGAAAAACACCCTTTAACACATTGACGACAACGCGGGGGATATATATCCCGCGCATTGCAGGCCATGTCGGACCGTGCGGGATATATATCCCCCGCACCCATTACACTCATTTTTTTCGCGCACGCCTGATTCTTTTAGAAGTTTCTTGTATTCATTCCATGGAAGAGACCTTGACGTAGCTACAAACATAGTGGCCCTAGAATGGTCACGTATGCTTTAATTTAGAGGAGGATTTCTGAACCATACGAAATCTTCATTTCAATAAATTTTTCGTTTACTTTTTCTTTTTATTAATGTGAAGATTTAAATAGTAGTAGAAGTAGATAAGGAACCTTAGGGATGACAATATGTGTGTTTTGATTGGAATAATCAACGTAAAATTGCTTTTGAGGTCCATTGCAGCTAGTTCTGAAAAATTTCGCTTTTTCATTGTTATTCCATGTCTTTCGATCGAAATTCCACTACTGTACCCCTGGGTAGGTTGCGCTCATTACAATTTACTGATTTGGTTTTGAATTGATCATTATTGTGTATTTATCACTCAAAATCTGCTTGAACGACCTGAGGCGAGCGCGCCCGCAAAATCGCCGCGGTCCCACGTGGCCAAAAAAGCCAAAACTCGCGTTGTCGTCAATGTGTTAAGTAGAAAATGGTGTCGCAGAGAATCCCTGTATGTACTCCCTAAATGTGTTAATGTATAATAGAAGGCTAGGGCTAATAGACCTTGCGAGTTCCTTGCTTCTTACAAATTGAGGTCCTTCAGGGTGTGCCAAGCTTTTTCAAAATGGTTTCATGAGGGCACATGTGGGGACCACAGAACCATGGTTCATTTTTCCTGAACGGCCCTCTGAATACCAGAAAAGGGGGTCCCTAGTTCGATTCCTCGTGGTGACAAATTTTTGCATTTCGAGTTGACGTTTCAAAATTCGCGCAAAATGGAGTTAGCATGAATAATTAGTACCATATTCATGATTAGGACCGTCAGTAACCCTTACAAATAGACTTTGATTGAAAAACTGGTGAAAAGGTGTGACTAGGGACCCCCTTTTCTGGTATTCAGAGGGCCGTTCAGGAAAAATTAACCATGGTTCTGTGGTTCCCGCATGTGCCCCTATATCATGCAAAAGACCGTTTTGAAAAAGCTTGGCACACCCTGAAAGACCTCCCTTGTTAGCGGGGACCTTGTTCACTCTGATAAACATGAGGCCTAGCATGATCGTTATCAACTATGTAACGGTAGCGACAGTTGCTTTAAGGTACCTCACGCCATGGCACTACATAGACAACCTGAGCCAGTCCCCCTACAGTAAGAAAGAGGGGTCTTCCAAGCGCAGTAGGTGCGACACTCAAAAGTGCGAGGCGACGGTGCCATGTGTGCTGCCGTGCTGCAGTCATATCAACCACGGCATACGTGGTCTCTGCGCCCTCTCGCGTACGACGTACTATCTCGCGTTCTCCCTCTCCTCGCAGCGCTGTGTCTCTCCGTCGTACTACGGCCGGCCTCCAAGGGAAATTTAGTGTTTTCTATGGTGCTTTTTGCTTTTATCCCCCTAATGTTTGTCATTTTGCTCCTTGCATATTTTCCGAACAAAACAACGCATCATCGATCCTCAAGTCGTGCCCTTTAAAGTCGAAAATCATGCAGTGGCGGTGGTTGTGTAGAGGGCACGGCGGGTAGGCACATGGCTTCATTATTCAGGTTCAAACTATGCCAAATTCCACCCAGAGCTTCAATGCATTCTACCCTGAACAGGGCCGACTGTAGGAAACCCTGAAATGAGAAAAACAATGACTCGTATCGGCCGCATTATATGACTCTACCATACCGAATTGAACGCGCATACCAAAATTCGATTGATCAAAGCAAAATGCTTGGTCCTTTTACGCTCCCTTTCAAAAAACGAGAAGAGCGTCGGGTGCAGACCATACACCACAAGTGACGACGGCCTCCACAAAATGTAAATGTTTTCTGCCAATGAAATGATTAGCCTGTTGCAGTTGTATTCTATCAGTTGTCACTAATTACAACTATCATTTACAAAATCAGCTATCACTATGAACCACTACTAACCAGATTTACTTGGAGGCCGTCGTCACTTGTGGTGTATGGTCTGCACCCGACACTCTTCTCGTTTTTTGAAAGGGAGGATGCGGTACTCATCTTCGCTTCATATAAAATCAGTTCACAGTGTGTAGTGAAGGATCGATGTTGACCGTCTTGCTATCCTTTACACGGCGACCATTTAACAAGCAACTTTCAGTGCTTCGACTTATTTGACGACGACAAGGGTTTGCCATGGAAGAGGTGCGAGCGTGATGAGATCCTGACCATGAAGCAGAAGTTTTTCAAACTTGAAAGTGCGTAAGAATAATTGAATCTGGAATTTCGGAAGCGGTACGGTCTTGGCAATGTATGAGCTTGCAGTAAGTTCCTGCTACTCGATAGTTCCAGAAGATTTCAAGCGAATTGTTCAGTATATCGATGGGCTG